ACGCGAGGCGTCTTCTTGGCGACCCCTCGGCACAGGCGAACAGAAGTTGCTTGTTGCTTCAGACGTAGATACAGCCGCCCCACTCCGTCTTGGTAATATTTATTACAGTTACTTTCATAGCGACACTGGATCAAAGAGAACCTCTAGCCCTAGGGCACCCTCGCCTCCTCTCCCTTAGGACTTGTCCAGAATGTAGTCCGTGTTTTTCGCAGATTCATTCAGCGAATCATGGAAGCTCGGCGCCTGCAAGACTCGTGGTAGGCCACCCCGCAGTACACGTTTGCAACGCAGGCAAAAAGTTGCCTACCTACCAGGCGCTTTGAGAGCTGGCATGAGTAAACTTCACAATTTCGTAACGGCGGATAACAGACGTGCACGCGGTGAAAACTGTTCCATATCCAAGGACCAGTGGAGGGATTCAAGGACGAGATAGGAAAAATTGCATGGGGCGTCCTTGAATCGTTCCGATGGCCTTCCTTGGACGACAATAAGGCACAATTTTCACCGTGTACTTTCTGGATGATCCCTGAGCCGGGCGGGCGTGTAGCTGCTGCCCCCGCGCTGGTGCGGCTGCGGCTGGTGCACTCACGAGCCCTGTGGCCGGGCAACCCGTTGTCGTAGTCCCCGGCGCCGTCCGTGTGGGCGCGGGGGCGTTCGGAACCGCCGCCGGGGGCATCAGGCACAGACGACAATGGTGGTTGGGCGGGGAGGGGCGGGGCAAGACGCGACACACCGTCTAGGCACGGCCCGCCGGCCCTGCGTAGTGGGGGGAGAGGGGGGGGGGGCTCCGTCCGGCCACTCACGCCGCTGACACATTTTGTCTCAGACGCAACAGCTGATTTCTCTGTGTATGAATCGAGGACTCGCTCGGCTCGCGGCGTGGCAGAGCGTGCGCCTGGCGGGCCGGCTGCAGCTGCTGCAGTAATTGCAAAGGAACATTCGCACTACCAGATTTGGACTCAGTGTGCGAGAAATTCCCCGTACACGATATTTCACTCGTCCTGCGTCCTGGTCGTTCCGCGGTTGACGGTCGGTCGGTCGGTCGGCCAAACCCGCCAAACCGTATCCTATTTTGACACCCCCTTCACAGCCTGCAACACAAGTGTTGTCGCCCGAGCGGAGTGGTACGGTGAAACGCAACTGCGTTCTTTACCACTCGAAAGTTTTGTAAAGTGCACGCTACAGTCTACTGGATGTCGTGTCTTATATAACTGTCACAATGAGCCGCGAGGCGGGCAGCCGACGGGCGCTAGGTAGGCGGTAGGGAACCTTTGCTTGGATGAGATCTGCTGACGCGTCGTTACGCCCGTTAAATAGCAGCGGCAGCCGGACGGTCAAATTTTGAACGAAACGCTCGGCCTTAAGCTTTGCCTTCACCAAGTGCCGAATGACGCCGTGCGTGGTGGGCGGGGCTGGGAGGCGCGGCGGCGGTGCCCGCATGGCAGGCCGCCCAGCCCGCGCGCCTGTCAGTGGTGCTGCCTACCTCACTCCCCGCGGGAGCCGTCGCGCCGCCCGAGTCGGGCGCTCGCGGCCCCGCAGGCGCACAGGGCCTCCTCCAGGACGCCGGCCACGCACTCGCACCAACCTCGCGACAACGTCCGGCTGCTCGTGCACGAGGCCCAGGCCCCCCTGGTCCGGTTCGGCTGTGCTGTGGGGCCGCCCAGGGGTCTCCGAGGCGTGGTGGCCAGCCTGGGGCCGCGGGGGCCCCGGGAGGTTGGCAGCGGTGAGCCCGACAACAACACCGCGGCGGGGTGGGGGTAGCGGGGCGGGCCCGCGCAGCGCCGCGCGGCAGTAGGCTCGCGAGGGGCAGTATGGACGGATGCAGAGGGCCGGCGGCGCAGGCAGGACACAAGTGACGGGAGGGGCGTTAGACGGGCGGTCAGAGCTCGCGAGTCGTTGGTGTGCGACAAGCAAAGTGATCCAGCGGCAACAACCTCCTCACTTCCCCCCTAAGTGCTTCCAAACAGCTACCCGCCAACACGGATACGGATTTCTATTACTTCTTCACCTCTCGACTTGGATTTCGTCGCTTAGCGCATCACTCGTAAGTACTGTTTTGAAAATAGCGCCCAAAGGCGCGTGGCGTTGATGGTTGGGTTGGCTGTGGATGGTCGGAGCCAACGACTGACAGTACATTCTGACACGCCACCGTGTCGAGAGCGAGCAGCCTGTCGCGTCCTCTTCATAGCGCCGCGCGAATCCGTTTAGCG